CAAAAAAACAAAACATACAGGGAAAATGGTCAGAGATCAATCGTCTAAGTTCAGAAAAAAAGACAGAAACAATAAAGATTGAGAGGGTGCTCGCTGCAGAACCACAAAGGCGGAGCTGCACCATAAGGTGGAGCTGTACCAGAGTCAGCCCCGCCCATTCACGCAAACTCAGCCTAGCCCACTGACTTCCGTTTTTGTTTTTCAACTTTATCGCAAACTAACCTGACCCACATGAATTACGGCTGTTACTAGTTTACAGTCGTTAATGCTATATTCTATGCTCCAATTAAACAAGATAAATATAACTTGCTACATGACAAAACCTGAATATATCTCGAAATTAAAAGGTTTTTTTCAGCGAATATCTGTCCACAGCCGCTCTAACAAAACTGCTATACAACAGCATGAAAGACTATCAAATGGGTTCTGGTAGTCCAGTGGCAAGATCATATGAATTAAATTTTGCTTTCCCCTCAGCTGATGTTGGTTCGATTCTCGGTGGGGTCGTCAGCAATCTTTTTAGCCAGCTGAAACATTTAATTTGTTTATATTTTAGTTGTAATGTTTATTTTCAGCAAAATATTTATGTCTCTAAAAGTTCTTTGAATTTGGTCGTTCCTAAACAGCATTTTAGTTGAAACTCTGCTCACAAATGGACTCACACTGGCTAAATAAACAAACAAACAAACAAACAAATAAATAAATAAACACATCAGTCATTATATGTTAAACGGTATAACAGTAAATTGTTGTAAACATAGTACTGGCAAGTCTAGCAAGAAATGAAGAAAAGGGGTTGTTAACTACCTAATACTTCCGCTACTGGGAGGCAAACCTGCGCAAAACTGCATGTCTACCTGACTCCATAACCACTGCACTACCACATCTGATAAAAGTTAAGGGGCGTGCTACCTATTGTCTCTTTGGAGATGGGACGTATGGTTTATTGGCGGTGTCTCAGTAGAAGTCATTTCAGAAATAATTTGTCAGAAAATTCACAGAATATCCAGATTTGAGAACCAAGACCAGACCTGCTTCGGGGGAGGAGACCAAATTGAAGCTGAGATGGGAGGAAAATGCATGAAAGAGGCCGAAAATGGCTTTGGCGTGTTTCTTATGAGGAAATGACAATATAACATGATTAAAAGTTCCAAAAGTTAGATTTTTAATTATATGGAACCTTTACGAAAACTGTTCAATTAACTTCTCAACTTGCATTTTTTAGCTATAACACCCTCTTTGGTTCCAGAATGCTATCAAGTCTGACAACTGGAAGGAATTGGACTGACTCTGATGGAATGGGCGGGGCTGACTCTGGTGCAGCTCCGCCTTCTGGTGCAGCTCCGCCTTTGTGGTTCTGCAGCGAGCACCACTTGTAAAGATTTACAAAAATAGGAATAAAAAATGTGTTTAAAAACATCTGCAACTGAGGAATTAATTTAAATTTCAGTTTGTGTTTTACAGGATTTACACACAAAAATAACATTGTGTGGGTGGTACGTCTTACGAATTTCAGCTGTTGTCATGTTGTTATAATTAGTGTAATTTAGTGAAGTGACCAACTTTTCAACTGTGATGTGATGTGTTGTCCTTTTTTAAATTAACTGTTAAAGGATTGAAACACAGCTAAATGTTGCTGGATTTAACAAAACATCCAAACTTTTAAAGAAAGACAAACACTTTAAGGCTCGCCTTTTAATAGCTAATGCATAGTTTAGAAATATTTAATTAATCAGTCTGTAACACTTTATAAATCAACAAATGTTCATTATGTTTTAAAGTAACACAGAGCAGTTTCCTGTTCCTCCACCCTACTGGCTGAAAGTAGAATTACAACTGTCGTAAACAACCCTGCTGTAGCTAGCGCTAACAACAAGCTAACACTAACATGACCCAATTAATACTAAAATAAACCACAAAGAGAAAAGATCCACACTGTTGTACAAAAATATTATTACTTATAAGTCCAGTAGCAACAAAGCCAGGTCACCATCAGTCTGTGATTTAGTAGGCTCTTTTAACTCCCCCAAACTAGCGTAGGCTGCGCTGATGTTCACTTTTAGCTCTTTGCTTTGCCTCCAAAGACATTACTCTCTTACTTCACTTCCAGGCTCTGCCTTGATATCAACGAAAAGGCAAACTTCTACACCTTGTGCTGTTTATTGACGATCGGCAAACTGAAAATGCTAACCACTAGCACTACAGCTAACAGCCATAAAGAAGCTAAAGATCCCCCCCCCCTTTGAAATCATCTTTAAAGACCCACCTTTTAAGCCTGGATTTCGACACCGTATGAAGTTTTGGATTTCTATTTGATTTTAGTGTTTTATTTTTAGTGTGCTTTTAACTTCTAAACTGTGTTGTATTTTATTCTGTTTTATGCCTTTATGTTTTATGTTCAGCACTTTGGTCAGTGAGGGCTATTTTTAAAGTGCTTTATAAATAAAGTCATCTTGGCTTGGCTATAGACTATTTATTAGCCATTTATTTGGGGAGCCAAATTGTAAAGTGGTACCAAAAAAAAAATCTCATTTTGCAAGGCTTTGTTTAAAAACACCATATTTCTGAGATGCCACAGACCAAATGACTCAAATGCTGGTGTTCATCCATTGAGCTTGGCTAGCCTCACCTCACGTTTCACTTGAAGAGTGACTCACCAGCCGACATTAAATTCAACATGGGCATCAAACAGGGCGACAACCGGGGCAGTGGCAACCCTCCATCCGCTCACTCTGGACCGGATCAAACCCTCCTGCTTGGCGTGCCGCACCACCTTAATGAATCCTGGACGCTGGCCGTTCGTCTCCAAAACAAAATCTTGCAGTTTCTCCTTAAGCTCATCTGCAGAAAAAAACACACACAGACATGCACATGCATTTTCCATCAGAGGAGTTTTTGAAATACTCGTGATGAAGTGAACATTGCCTCTGAGCAAACGTACAGCCAAAAGATGCTGTCATGTCCTCCTCTAGAGGCAGTATTTTGGTGGTCATGGGCCAAAGAGCTGATGCTTCATTGCTTTGATCAGTGGAGCGATCAGGCAGCAGTCTGACCCGACACGGCAGACCTCCATACAGCCTAACAGTCTATAGTATCTGATTGAAGGCTCAGCCTGCAGTCCTTTATTTTTTTAACAAGTGGTAGATGCTTGTCCTAATAGTTTAACTCCATTGTTACCTGACATTTGTACTGTGTGATGACTCACTCTCTGCAGGACAAGAGGTGTAGCCTTTTGCCTTATGGAGGCAACTTATTTTCTATTTTTGTCATGCACAATACTTTTTCCGGATATTAAATGAGAAAATTGTGAAAAATAGTCGAGAATTCTCAGGATTCATAGACCGCTGTGAAATGTCAGCATGAGGCAAAATTAGATAACAAGTCTCCATCAAACTGTCAATCAAATAAAGCAATATATCAAATCTGCCTGTGACTACATTTGGTGTGTTTGTGTGTTGTTATTCCTTATAAATAAATGTAGCCGTAGGTGTTGTTTGAGCTTAAGGAGAGATGAAAGCAGCTGAAAGAAGACGTCACACTGAGTCTGGCTTATATGGCAGCTATATGGAGCTTTTACAAAGTCAGAGGAAAGGTTCTGAAACAACAGTGGAATGAGTTATGCTGGAGTAGATGTTTTGCACGCTGGCAATAAAGTGGACAAAAGCCTTTCCTCCAGTATCCTGTGGGCTTGCCCCACAGCTCTGGTGGCTGAAAATTGAGTTTGGGTTTCCAAAATATCTCAAAACATTTGTGAGGATTCTCAATATTTTTGCATTGCATTGCTGTATATGGCTGCTGGATTATTTCACACGATAAACCAAATAATGCCTTCTCAGAACAGGTTGCTGCAGGCGTCTGGGGCAAACTGGTACCCTCTTGAATTTAGTTTCAGCTAGTCAAAAAATGTGAGGCAACTTCAGGAGGGACTGATGAACAAATTGCCAAAAAAATAAGGGGTATATTGCATTGAGACATAGTTAAGTCACTTGGTCACTAAATTTCAAGAGAAAGATCTATTTAAGTATCACACAAGTGCCAACATTCCTTCTTATGTCTTGTGTCCCGTGTGACCAAAGAAATTAGGTACCAAATCTGAAACAGTATTTTCTTGTAATTCTGCTTAAACAACTATGGCCAACATCTGCAGCCCTTCGGGACAACGGATTAGGGAAGGTGCAAGAAGGATTTCAGTATTGTGAGGTATTCTCTTCCGTCTGCAGAACAACTGCTTATTGCCCTGCTAAGAAATAAAATAAATCAAATCTAAAACAAACACAACAAAGCTGCTTAAATCTGAGCAACATTCATACATAGCCAAGGGCGTCAGTTTGTTTTCAGAATTGCTGGGGACAATAACCATACACTTGAGTGGGGTTTAAAAATTGCTGGGGACAATATAGGCTAGCACAGGGGTCGGCGGCTCTGTAGCCGCATGCGGCTCTTCCATCCATCTGATGCGGCTCTCTCTGTGCTTGTAAAATAATGAATGGATATTTAAATAAAAAGCTTTATATTTTACTGCATTAATTTTACATATGTATGCTAATTCTAAATGTAAAGATTGTCTGCGTAAACCTGAACAGGTCCAACCCAGTCTTACTGTGAGACCGGGTTGACGCGTCACGCTTGTGCGTAATCATAGGCGCTTCCTGAGCTGGAGGATGTGAGATTCTGGGATTCTCCTCAGACGGCTCCTGGATGCGTCGCCACATTGGAGACAGGAACAAGCGCTATTCAGCCAAAGTTTCATAATCAGGGAACATTTTCTAAGTGACAAGTCTCTGAGAGACAGGGTTTGGAAAACACTCGCTTCAGTGGGAGGAACCTTCTCACATGCGCTCTGGTTCTGAGAGCCTGGATTTGTATTTTGAACAGTCTAAACATGTTTTTAAAAGAAACGTATGACAAAAGTGGTACCTGCTCAGTAAAACCACCAACAGGGTGAAAAATATCAAAATATTGTAGGCAGAGACGGGTTACAGCTTCTGGATCATCTTTATATAAATCGTTTTATTGATTATCTTCTTATGAAAGATAACTTTGACGTACACGAGCGACCAGGCGCGTTGCAAGATTTTCAAAAGTGTGGGAGATGTTGTCTGTGCCTAAAATAATTTGATGTTATTCACCTTGTTATAACCCTTGTTTCCATAATAGCGGAGCAGGTGCGAATTTTAGACGCGTCACGCATGTCTCCGTTTTAAACATGTTTAAACTGTTCAGAATAAAAATCCAGGCTCTGTCTCGTTAGATTGGTGTAACTAAAGTTTGTACTGAATGAAACTACATTAAACCATGTTGAAAAGAAAAGGATCCGATTAAATCATTTCCCCTCATTTACAGTCACGACGTACAGCGCAGTGCGCGTGGCTCTGGGGTTAATCAAGTTTAGTTGTTTCTCTTTGCAACAATCTTCACAAGAAGGCAAAACAGTTAAATGGCAGGTTACAGATATTTCCATTTGACTGTATTTTGATGGATAAACTCAAGGATGCTGGCTGTTTTGAAAGAATTACCCCGACGCACACTGAAGCGCATGGATGAGCTTGGAAAAATGTTCTTTTTATGACATTATTAAACTTTGGCTGAACAGCGCTTTTTCCCGTCTCTAATATGGACACGCATGACGCATCCAGTCTGAGGCAGAATAGCAGCTCAGAAAGCACCTGTAGAGACATTTGATCACGCACAAAGTTTATGTGGAGCAGAAGCGGTCGGGCCACGGCAGGTGAAACGTTCCTAGCCTACATGAAGCGAAACTATTTAATTGTAACATTAATATGTTACTGGACACGCTGGTCTGGTTGGTTAGACCAGTGTTGGAAGTGGAAAACACACACACACACACACACACACACACACACACACACACACACACACACACACACACACACACACACACACACACACACACACACACACACACACACACACTCACACACACACACACACACACACACACCAATTAAAATAATGCTGATAGCGTGGACTAGAAGACAGGTGATGGTTTACGTATTTAAATGATGATCAGGCTGCTGTAAAATGTAATCTCCATCCACATCCAGACACAATGATCCTCTATTCTATTTGCTCTGCTCTTGTCTGGGCTGATGTAGCTGGCGGTGCGCGCGGCGCGCCTAACGGCTGTGGTGCACATTTTACGCATTTGGAGAGGTGGTGATGCTTTGCTTTCACTGGAAGATGGTCCACTTAATGCACGGGTGTAGACTACATATTAATGACAAATGAATGAAAATTAAATTGGGAGTTTTTACTTCATATTTTAGAAATAAAAATGACGGGGGAACACATTTATGACGTCTTTTTAAACGAAATTTTCTCAGACTTTGTACAGCTAATGTCAAGATGTAAAATTATGAATTCAGTCGAGCTCTTCCGTCCCTCCCTCTCCTGCTCTCCTGGAAACCCGACATTTGCTGTCAGAAGCGGGAGGTGAAGAAGGAGATGAGGCAAACAGAGTGAGTGTGCGACATAAAGAAACTAGACTGGTGTGGAGGTGAGCAAAACAGCTGGAAAAGTGTGGGTGTTGAATCCCCCACGGGTGCGATGTCCATGCGAGCGACCGGTACCTGCTGCTGTCACCTGGTTGTGAGCAGCTCTCTGCTGTCTGAGGGTAGGCCCCGCCCACAACGCTGCGGCTACTGCGGTGTTTTCTTTACTGTGGGAAATGGGTAATAATGGCTCTTTGATGGGAACAGGTTGCCGACCCCTGGTATAAGACCTGAGCTGGTAAAACAAAAATCCTCATCAGCAGGCTTTTTTGAAAGTGGGGGGGACACAGCTGCCAATCACAAATTTTGCCGGGGACATGTCCCCGGCGTCCCCGGTTAAAATGACGCCTATGTACATAGCATGTATTTTATTGATAAATGGTCAATGGCTAGTACTTGATATAGCGCCTTCTAGGGTCCTGGACCCCCCCCCCCCCCCCCCACACACACAAAGGCGCTTTACAACACAATCAGGTATTCACACCCTGGTGGTGATGAGCTACATTGTAGCCACAGCTGCCCTGGGGCGCACTGACAGAGGGGAGTATGCCGTACACGGACCCTCCGACCACCATCAGCAGGCAAGGTGGGTTGAGTGTCTTGCCCAAGGACACAACGACAGACTGAGCGGGATTCAAACCTGCAACTTTTCTGATTACTGGGCGACTTCACTCCTGTGCCACCGTCGCCCGAAAGGATTAAGACATGGTCACAGTTCAGTTACAAGATGAATAACCAGTATTCATTTTGTTGCCACTCTATTGATTTTATGATTCATTTATGATTTATGTACATTATGAAAGTTTTTTCTTGCAGAACTGCTCCACCAGATAGAAAAACACCGTAGAGACGTATACCACCCCATGATATTGATTGTGCAACATGAAACTCCATGTGGCTCTGGATGTTTGCTCAGCAAGCAGTGACTTCTGGTATTTTCACCAAATGAATGATTGCAATAAAACAGTCTTAGGTGTAAAATGTGAATCCTGAATTGGGTTTTAGGGCATTTACGGTAAAGATGACCATCCTAGTCAGTTTACTTTGATGATTTTAGCCGAAGGAAAACTTTATGGACTCACATGAACTTGTTTCAATAATAGTGAGGGCATCCTAATGTGTGGTGAACTGAAAGTAAGAATGATGCAGGATTATGCCTCATAACAAATCACAATCAAGCACAGGTCATTACACCAGAAAGGGCTGATGGCTAGCGCTCATCAATCTTTCAGGACTGATATCCTGCTGAAACTCTGCTGGAAACAGGTTTTAGACGGAGTTTCACTGGAACAAACGCCAAACAGGTTTTCAGACATCACCGTTTCCCAG